TCTTTTTTCTCTTTATAATATTTTTTTAAAAGTGCAGTACATATATCCTTGACATCATCTTGTTTACGTGGGCTTCAGACCATAAAGACAATGACTCATAGCCATTGGTAAATAATGAGGAGTAATTTAATTTATTTGAGACATTTCAATAAAGGACCCATTCCTGTGCTCACACAGTGTTTTGTGCTGCCAATGATGATTGACTTTATACATGAGAAAGTTCCCTGAAAATGACAATGTCCTACTTTTTGTCAAATTTTATAGAGTAAACACCAAAAACTGTAATTTCAAGAGCTTTGAAATCTTCAGAGAACATAAGTTACATATACAACAACTATTACAAGTTATTTGAAAGTTCTACTTCAACAAAATGTCTAGTATTTACAGAAAATTGGACTTTTTGATGTCAAAATCAGCAATTTCTCGGAAACCGGGCGAAATTGGGAAATGGCGATGATAGGTCAAATAGGCATTATGGATATGCACAAAATGAATGTGGATATGACTCAATCCGAATAGCAGTTTTAATTTGGGCGGCCAATGTTGACGGACGGACGGACAGACCAACAGACGGACGCCTGGTCGATTCCATAGGCTCACTATGTGAGCCAAAAAACCACAATCCCTCGTAAATCCTAACTAACAAAATATGATTCCTATTGTGAATGTATAAGATAAACAAATCAAAGGATAGAGGTTCATTTTGTTTCTTCAAGGATCCTTGAAACCCAGTCCTCCAGGTCCATGGGCACCTGACTGATTCCATGAAATTTAAAAATAAAATTCACAATATATCCACAAAATGACACGAGTGAGCTCACATGGGGAAGAGGACAGATTCACGATATTTGTTTATGATGAATTAAAATTAAAATATGAATGTCAACAACAAAATAAATTTTTAAATGATGAACAAGATTTCAAAGGGCAATGAACCCAAGTAAAAGTACAAAGTCGTAACGACATTGTCAAAGTTAACAGCACCTATAAAATAAGTGATGCCATCTTTATCTAAAATTATTTCTATCACCCAGACGATATTTAGTCAACAAACTTAAAACAGGCTCATAGTGTGCAATGAAACATTTTAAATTTATTTCATCTTCTAACCAATGCACTGTACACAATTAATGATACATTCTTTGACAAAGAAATAATACATATTGCTATGACAACAAGCCATTCCCTTATAAATACAATAATAAGCAACTAAAAGTAAATTACACATGATATTTGGGCTCATTACGATTATTTTTTTCGATTTTGCATTTGCAGTCATCGTAAAACCTCAAAAATTCAAGTTGTCCCACACAGGAGGAAATATCCCAGAATTCAAAGAACCTGAAATGAGGTTTGTATTTACATGGAAATAGGTTCAACTATGAATTCTGGGATATTACCAATCCTTGTTGCCCAACTTTCATACATTTAGATCAAATTATTTTTCATTTTAAGTGATGTTTTCATATATTACTATTAGGCTACTTGGCCCCAATTAAAGGGTCAACATAGAAACCCCAAAAATGAGAATTGGACTTTAATTGTAAAATACTAAAGATTAATTACATAAATCATACAACTGCATTGTACAACATAAATATCAATCAACATAACAAAGGTTAATGCCGTGGTCACATTTGCTCCGATTTTTACTACAGCGCCCAGCCGTTGGTGAAAATCGGAGCAAATGTGACCACGCCATTAGCTACATGTTTTTGAGAGGACTTGTCCGTGAATTTGTACAATTATGGTCCTCAATAGGGATTAGTTCTCCCATGTGTCAAGCCCGTAGCCAGCTTTTGCCAAGAGGGGGGGGGGGGTCACTTTTTTAAAAATTCAAGGGGGGTTCCCTTTTGACAATTTTGGTCCAAAAATGGACAAAGTCACTTAAAAAGTGCTCAGAACTGCATGATTTTGAAAGAATATTTTGGTTCGCTCGAACTGACTGAACTGACATATGACTATGGGCCTGCTTGTACATGTTCTCCTAAAATCGTGTAGCATAATTATTCTCCCGATTATATGATATATTCATCATGTTTTGTTACATGATAATCTTGAGGGAAACAAGTGAATACAAAAATGGAGAAACCTATCTCTAGAAGACCATAATTCCGCACATTCTCTTAACAAATGGAACTTTACCTACCCAAATGTAAGCAGCTCCTAGATCATAAGCATCAAGGGAATACTTCACAAAAAGCACACATACACTCGGGAACACATTAATTAATATCTCAAGATTCTACGAGAAAATATAAACAAATGTGACACCATAGCTTGTTATTTTACATCAAGATAGAGAAAGATGTAAGGAATATGCTAACTTGGATTAAGACACCACACTGACATGTTGTACTCGTAAACTAGCTGGTGAAAATTCTGCCAAATGAAGATGGTAACCAAGAGATGTAATTATGTCTGTCATCTCTAAAGCTCTGGGGTTTTCCCTCCTCTTCTCTACGGAGAACAGATTGCTTTTACTGCCATCTATATTTAAAAAGTATTTCCATCGTCCTTTAGCCAATTATTTGTAAAAAAATACTCCAAGCAATATGTTTAGGTCAGGTTTATCTGAGATACTAGAAACAAAACAGTAGATTCAAAACAATGTCTCTTTGAATCCATGAGCAAATGCAAACAATTATGAGACAAATACTTGATCATTAGGGGACCCTTGCAAAAATCAATGTTGTACATTTCATGAATATTGTACACTTGATGAATTGTCCTACATTTCATGAAAATTGCATATATGAAGAATGTTGTACATTTCATGAATATTGTACATTTGATGAATGTTGTACATTTCATGAAAATTGTATATATGAAGAATGTTGTACATTTCATGAATATTGTACATTTGATAAATATTGTACATTTCATGAACACTGTATATATGAAGAATGTTGTACATTTCATGAATTATATTTAGGAAATGAAATACCAAGACTGGCACATATCTATCTAGTAAATACTGAAAAATGCCATGCTGTATCATTTATAATATCAATGGCAGCATGGGAACATTTACACCCCCTATAAAGTATAGAAATAAGGTAATCCTACATTTATTTTTGCAATAGTCCCCCAAGGATCTATAAAGCAATACAGCCATGAACAATAAGAAAAAATATATACGATTTTGCGCCAAACAATTTGGCACTTTTCCCTGTGAATGTCCTTAAAAATCTGGAATGTCCATGATAAATTGTTGTTGCACAATATAACATAAGACAGTTGACATTAAGGTGAAAAAACTTGGCGATATCTGAGCTTAAAAAGTCTACACCTTTGATATACCAAAATATGTATCATCACCTTTTGGTGATTACAAAACTGTAATGGTTGTTACACACACTAACGCACCTTTTAATGATTACAAAAGTGTAATGGTTGTTACACTCACTGACACAAACCATGCGGTGTCAGTGGATGTAACAAAATAGTCTTATTTGTTGGTGACATGAAAAGCTACTAAAATAAATAACAAGACAAAGCTCAATCTAATATCAAGATTAGCTACTTAGGTTTGAAATAAAAAAATAATGGAAGTTGGAGTAAATATTTGAAATGTAATAAAATAATACACCTTTGAAGAAAAAGAATGTTTTGTGCAATTATGCTTTTGTAAAGTGAATATCATGAATAAATATAACACTTAAAGTATTCACTAACATTTATAGAAATAGATGTCATAATTGTGTAATGTACAGAATATATGAAAAATAGTACATTAGCTATCTTACATTTATCAAATTTCTCAACCTATTTTTTATACATTTGGTGATCAAAAGGAGCATTTAATAGTCTCGCCTTTATTTTGGAAAAGTCAATAATTTTCGACACTCATGATAAACATATTTCTTATCTCAATCATTCTAACATTTATTCTATATTTTTTCTATTGGTAACAAAAATTTCCGCAGTCTCAAATTGCAGAGGTTTTCACTTTTTTAAATTGGTAAATTCAGCTATTGGTAAATTTTCAGTTACAGCTCTTCAAATGGAAGGAGAGAATGTGTTTCCTTATAAGGAAGTATGGGTCACCTGCACTACATTTGCTTTTTTCCAGTTTGTTATTTCAGATATGAACACATGTGATCCACGGAAACTTTTGTGACCTCAAGAGAACTTAGCTAATGAATGTTAGGATTGATTGAGGTAAGAAATTGGTATGAGGCATATATCTTTGCCAAAAATTATTGATTTTTGAAAAACTGTGGATGGCTGAATTAGAGTTCCTCATCTCATGACCACACTTCAGAGTGGGCGTGGCACATATATTATATTACATGTTTCTACATTGTTTGTATCATTGTACAATGTATATTGTTAGTACCTCAGTTGAAATACTCGATTTTGATTGGTCAACGAGCGGTGAATAATTTTAACTGTACACCGCGCAATGCATTGCCGGTGAATAATATTCCCAGCATTCCACTAAAATGACGTCATTATCAGACGATAAAATGGCCGTCGCTAGCACCTAGCCGTTTCAAAAATGTTGAAGATGAGGATATTATTAGTCTCTTAGAGAGTAAAGACAGTCAAAATACGAAGAAAAATCTAAAACTTTGTACAAAGCTTTTAGTGGACTTCGCCCAGGAGAGTAATTTGACTCCATTGAGTGAACTTACTGCCGTGGCAGATGTAGATAATTTTTTGAAAAAGTTTTACGTTGGTATTAGAAAAATCTAAGATATTCTTCGGACTAACAAAACAATTATAGACCTCTCCATTCGGTTTACTATCAAAATTATATCCCTCGACTGTAAACCTCGACCTACGGTCTCGGTTTACAGTCTCGGGATATAATTTTGACAGTAAACCTCTGGAGAGGTCAATAATTGTATACTGTATCGTATAACAAAGTAGAATGTATACTGCATTGTATACAATGTGTACTATATTGTATAGAGATGTGTACTATATTGTACAACAATGTATACTGTATTGTACAACAATGTATGGTATTGTACTATATTGTATAGAGATGTGTACTGTATTGTATAGCATTGTATATTGTATTGTACGGCAATTGTATACTGTATTGTATAACAATAAATACTGTATTGTACACATTATATACTGAATTGTATAGCAATCGTATACTGCATTGTATAACAGACAGGTTTATGTTGTGTGTATGCAAGTAAACTGTATTTTGTGTAATTTACAAATGTTTACTCTCTTGTGTGTAATATATGTATGAATATGTCATTGTGAAATTTAGCTAGAAGCATAAGTACTATTCACTTTACATGTTACCATTTGTAACTTTCTCATATAAAATATCTACTTTTTAATACTCTGTTCGCTAATTAGGCACATTGTCCAGTCATCATTGCATTATCATCACTGTGTTTTCATCATTGTTTATCCATCATTGCCCCTATTCATCATTGTACTATCATCACTGTATTTTTCATCATTGTCTAATCCTCACTGTCTATACTATCAGGATTAATTATCCCAGATTCTGAAAAACAAATTAAAATATTTATTGAAATGAAGAAGGAAAGTTTTATGGCTTCATGCTATACAATGGAAGCAATATAAGTTGACAAGTGTTCAACTTTGGGCATACATACACAGCCAATATAATTCGGCACCGTTTCAGCATCGAAAAAATTCGGCGCTGTTCTGGCACCGTTTTGACACCGTTTCGGCACCAAAACCTTTCGACACCAAAATTTTCTACCAGACTAATCAGTCCACTTGGTGCCGATACGGCACCAAAATTTGACACCAAAACGGTGTCGAAAATCAGATTGCATTTTGGGGGTGTATATATTTCATGATATCACACTTTTGACAATTATCAAACAGTTCTGATCTTGTTTCTGGATAATCATTTGATTTTTAGTATATCTGGTGAAAAATTGAAAGAAGACTGCCATCTATTCAAAAGTAGAAGACATCTCTGCACCTTAAATTCTCAATAAAATCTATTTGATCAGATACGGTATCTCAATTCTTTCTTTTTCAGATATTATCATTTTGAAATTATAAGGGAAACATTAAAATCAAGAGGTGTTCACAATACATTCAAATTGATAGGTGTTCGTTCAGAAAGCATTCAAATTTAGAGGTGTTCATTCAGAAAGCATTCAATTTTAGAGGTGTTTGTTCAGAAAACATTAAAATTGAGAGGTGTTCGGATTAGAGGTTTTACTGCATACTGGCTAATTGTGCTGACTAATTGTGCTTTTATTAACTACTTGTGCCGTACTTACTGACTAATCGTGCTCGACGTATCTGTGCCTGTTTTTTCCACTCTGGTTCAGCTTTGCTGGTCTCAGTTGGGATTACTGCTATAATGAAATATGAAACTAGTTTATACAATGTATACCTTACATAGTAATATATAATACCTTCTCTGAAAGACCCATGCAGACACACACATTAAAGGAGAAGCAATGGTTGAAACCTGATTATACAAGGCATCAAGATACAAAATATTAACACCTGCCATTTGTTACAGATGCCAAACACCAACCACCAAACACAATCCACAAAAAGTTGGAGACTATAACAATATATGACCACTTCTGGTCATGACATAAAAATGGAGTTCTAGAATGTGTGACCCTCTGATGATCTCTGTTATGGCCTAGTCACATAGCCCGGCCGATGAGGTTACGATGAGCCTGCGATGCAATTTTCACCGAACTCGGCCGAACACCGGTCGGACATCCGTGGCGTTTGTTGCGAGCTCCCTCATCATGTCATCGCAGCCCCATTGTAACCACATCGGAAAACACGTCTCGGCCAAGTATCGGCCGGTGTCCCGTGCATCTGAGACAACCAGAGGACGAGGTTTTTTAACGGACAGCGGCCGAGCTCCGACCGAGCTCCGGCCGATGTGGGACAGAGCATCGGCCGGTCACTGTTCAAAGCCCGTTAACAACCCGGCCGGCGATCGCACGGTGTCCTGTTACCTGCTCGGGTACCGGCTGTATTCCTTCCGATGTCCGGCCGACCTCCGGCCGGTAGTTGCTGCCACATCGGCAGAAAAAAACTACCATTTTGAGACAGACTCCGTACGGTCACCGGCCGGTGTTCGGTCGGTCGCCTGAAGATGTCCGGACGGAGTCCGTTCACGTCACCGAGCTCTGCTTCCGATGAGGAGAGCTTGGTGGCACCAAAAAAATCCACCGAGCTCTACCGATGCCGGACATCGGCCGGGCTATGTGACTAGGCCATTAAGCTTGCCCAGCTTAAGATTAAAAGGACTCTACCATACAACTAGTAATTATCATACCTTGAGGACTGAGTGAAGCACGCTTCTCTCTCTTCTTGGCCAATTCTTGTTTCCAGAGGGGCACTGGGGTATTCACTGTACTATCACTCTCAACCTTGTTCTGGTCTTCCTGTAAACAAAATACACTCTGATTGGTTAAACTTGTGCCATGTGACTGACATAACTCAATCTGATTGGTTGAATATATACCATGTGAATTACATTACTCAATCTGATTGGCTGATTATATACCATGTGAATTACATTACTCACTGATTGGTTGAACATATACCATGTGAATGACATAACTTACAGTGATTGGTTAAACCTTTACCATGTGAATTACAACTCACTTTGATTGGTTAAACCTGTACCATATGATTAAAAGCTAAGCTCTGATTGGCTAAACATATAGCACATGACTGACATAGCACACTGATTGGTTAAACATGCATCTGAGAAAGACATCTGCTAATATAACACAGAAAAGTAATTGGTTTTCCATTGAATAAACCTAAAATCTTTACATTATTTGAACTGTCATACCTTTTTCTCTTTCAACCATTCAGGGTTATTCACTTCTGACTTCTTTTTCTCTGCTAGGTCACGCTTCCACTTTGGCACCTCGGACATCCGTATAGGAGTCTTATTTGATTGGTTAATGGGGGAGGGCGTGAAATTGATCGTTTTTCGTTTTTGTAATTCTTGTTTCCAAAGTGGCACCTTTGTATTTGAATCTACAACAGAAAGACTGTAAGTGAGAGTAGGGCAACATAGTATATTAGAGATTTCGCAAACTCACTAAGACTCACTTATAACATATGGTGCTTAAAAAATTTGCTTGTATCAAGGTTAATATCTTTCAAAGTGGCAGAGTTTTTCTAAAGTAAGTAAATTACCTCACTTTTTTATTCCAAATAATATTAAGAATGATTGTGCAAGATCTTAAAATATACATGAAATATACATAAGATATTAGCAAACAAGTTAACATGACCTACAATATAATGATAACCTCATGCATTTACCAACTCTGTAAAGTTAATATTTCTAGACAAGGCATTAACATGCAAAATATCACCACCTGCCATTTGTTACAGACACTGACTGCCAAACACTGCACACTGTTAAAGACACCAAACACCAAATGCCAAACACCAGCCACAAAAAAGTTGGAGACTATATAACAATATGTCACCACTTCTGGTGGTGACTTAATAATATAATAAAAATGTGACATTTTGTAATAAATATTAGACGACTGACCTTCTGTTTCCATATTATTTGTGGAGCGTGGAGAATTCTTTTTGTTGGGATGTCTAAGAATAACATCAGTCTCTATATTGAAACTATCGTTACTATCAGAAAGGGGCGTCCTATTCTCATCTATGATTGGAGAGGAAGATCCATTGCTAAGCGACGAGCGTCGTGATGATGATTTAACGGAGGGTGACTCTCGTCCTGATGAACGAGGGGAGTTCTTTAAAAATGGTGATTCGCTACGTGGTGAGTCTTTTAAATTTTTAAAATCTATAAGAAGTTCTTTTTCTGAGCCACTAGATCCAGTTTTATGGTGGGATATAGTATCTGCACGTTGGATATTGGAATTGTTCGTACTATTTTCTTTGTTATTTGAGAAATTGTCTGTTTGCTGAGTTTTGATTGGTCGGTTGTTACGACCGCTACGCCGTAGCTGCACCATCCACGGTGGGTTTGGTTTATCATCTTCTACAGGTTTACTAGTGCTGGTCTCTGACTTCTCTGTTTGCATAGAGTCTGTAAAAATCAAAAATTAACATTCACATCTTCAACAAGACAAACAGTGATGAATATCGCACCTTGAAAAGCAAAAAGACCATGTACCATGGTATTTCACCAAGCATGCCAAAACCTTATTGGATGTTGGACCTTAAGACTGTTCTTGGCTTTGAAAAATTTTAAGTTGAATGGATAAGGAAATCTCAGGAATTTTGATGACAGGATTTATGTGGCACCCGCCATCCATGCCTTATATTTGAGTCTCCCAATGAGAAAGAGTTTATCTATATTTGGATATTGTTTGCATTATACAATAGCTTGAAGTGCTTCAAATATCTGATATTATTTAAGATTTCTTCATCCTATGCTATCAAAATACCTTTGCTTGTTTCAATTATACTGGCAGTGCGTTTAGTTTTCTCGAGAGCATCTTTCATCCAGGCTGGTTTTTCAGGTTCCTGGTCCAGCTTCATCTTATCTGGTTTATCGCCATCTGGTTTGCGTCTCAATTTAGACAACCAGCCTGGTGCCTCAGAACTTTTTCCTTCAACTTGCTTCAAAGCTGGTTTTGTCTTCACTGCAGGTTTCAGCTGAAAGATAAGTAGGTTATATTAACATCTAGAGAGGGGAGGGGGTCAATAGACTGTAAGCATGTGAATGACAACTCACTCTGTTTGATTAAATAGACTAGAAAAACAGCAACAGCACGAAGTTACAGATCCGACCAAACAAAATATATTTTATATATCATTCGTTACTTTCGAAAATTTCACCAGTATGAGTTCATCACAGATTATAGCTGTTACAAGAAATGTCATCCATTTTGAATTGAGGCCATATTGAGAAATTTCTTATTCAGCAATGGTTCTATTTCCATATGACTTCAGTTATCACCCCAGGCTGATAAAAGATACTCTAATGTCGCCAACTCATATATGGAATAAAAATTATTTCATTTTTCGACAATTTATTTGCAGGTGAGGGAAAAATTTTTTCATTACACTCCATAACCTAAAAAAGCTTGTGTAACAGTCTGGCATGGAGGATAGAGTTTATGCAACACACAGTTTACCTTTGGCTTGCCATCAGTCCCAAGGCCAGGGAGTTTCTGTAGTGGTGTCTTAATCCCAGGCATAGGGCGTCCAGCTGCCTTCAGCAAGGGTATACCCCCAGGTATAGGCGTCAGCTTTAATGGCATCTTGGGGGTGGCGGCAGGGGTAGGAGATCTATCGTCTTCATCTAATTTCTCATAATCGTGGTCCTCGTCAAAATGTATGGTCTTTGGTCTTGGTTCTGCAAAAAATATTCAAATCTCACCTTGCATTATATATGGTAGAATGAGACATTCTCACATGGAATCCCTAGCAAAACATCTGGCTTCATAAGGTGAGTTCTTCCCACATTAATTCTTTTTATGATATGTTTACAATACAATGGTCTTTACGTGGAGTTACCCATTGATTCAATGTTAAGTTACCAAATGATTTATATTAAGTTTATATTAAGTTACCCATTGATTTATATTAAATTACCCATTGATTTATATTAAGTTACTCATTGATTTATTTTAAGTTACCCATTAATTCATGTTAAGCTACTCATTGATTTATATTAAGTTACCCATTGATTTATGATAAGTTACCCATTGATTCATGTTAAGTTACCCATTGATTTATGTTAAATTACCCATTGATTTATATTGAGTTACCCATTGATTTATGTTAAGTTACCCATTGATTTATGTAAAGTTACCCATTGATTTATGCTAACTTACCCATTGATTTATGCTAACTTACCCATTGATTTATATCAAGTAACCCATTGATTTGTTAAGTTACCCATTGATTTATATTAAGTAACCCATTGATTTGTTAAGTAACCCATTGATTTGTTGAGTTACCCATTGATTTATGTTAAGTTACCCATTGATTTGTCAAGTTACCATTGATTTATGCTAAGTTACCCATATTACAATACTAACCAGTAGAGTCCTCAAATAATGTCAGTTCACTGGAGACCATTGTACTTTTGATATTCTTCCTTGTTGGTCTTCTCCTTTGAGCCAATGAACCTTGCTTACTAAGGGCAGTCTTCTGTTTGTTTGCCTCAGAGTCAAGGTGACTGGTAGTCTACAAGGTATAACATAGCATTAAAGTACTGAAGTATTGAACCATTGCCTTTCAAGAGGCCCATGATTGAACAAATGGAGGTAATCTTGCTTACTGAGGCCATTCTTCACACATTTTTAGAGCTAAATCAATTTTGCAGACCAACATCTGATTTTAAGACTTTTGACATCCTAAAACACTTAAAGCAGATATGAAATGGTATTTTTAACCTAAAGGAATCCCTATAATTTTTGATAAATGTATTTGGACATGTTTTCTCATCAGTAGTGCGAAAACTATTTCACTCTAACGATCGTTATAGCTGCTTAATAAGCAATATTCGAATTGGTTGTGACGTTATTGGCCCCCACGTGATCTCTCACTGGTCCCCACGTGGCCCATAACGTCATAATGCCAAAATGTTTTGTTTTGGTTTACACTACAATCCTATGGTTGCCGTGACGTTGTGATTACTAAGGTACCAATAAACCAAAGCTATATTTTGTATATGACGTTACTTATCACGTGGGGGCCAATTTGATTGATCAGTTAGTTTTATTTCGTTATTTATGATCGTTAGCAGTTATCTAACAATTATTTTATAATGGCTATCGCAAGAACTCTACGTTGGGCTTACAATGGAGAAAACCGCATTTTTGTAGCTGCAAGTTGAGAAAGCTATTTCAGTTGTCCTTTAAGAGTCCTGATTTGAGGGTGTTAGGGTTGAAAAGAACCAATCTCAATCAAATAGTTTGCCGGTCCAAGTTTAACAATGCCAGCGGTACATGTACATTTGTACACATGAATTTTTCTGAAAATTACAGATTTTTTCTCTCTGGACTCATGGCCAAATACAGTTTGACTGATCGAAGGGCCATCCGACCCAACCCAATACTGTTATTTTGTTCATTGTACATGTACTGCACATTGTTAATTGACAGATGCTACCTACACATTTAAATTATTGGCCAATTATCCTATAAATCAAAATTAAAGACTTCAACATGTAGATTGTCTAATTATATGAATTAACACGAGTAGTTTGAGTGCCCAACTTGTCATCCTAAATCAAACTTCTATGTATATGTATGTTATGAAGTATAAAACATTGCAGATGTTAAACAGATGTTTAAAACCAACTTCTGATAAACTGATGAAGATCAGCACAACGCCTGATATCATAGAAAATAGGATGAAATACAGCAATCTCTCACGCATTAAAGCAAGTGGGCACTGTATCCACGTGAGATTTTCAATAATAGGCTTGCACTTATCCAAATATCTATTTGGACCCACTTGAAAATGAGAAGTATCATAGGCATATTTTGAGTCAGATATGAACTTGAAATGAAAATAAAAATTTGCTCAAAAAATCCTCATAACACTGAAATATTTGTGTAAAATTATACTTCAAGTTCATTCTACTTTACATATATATTTCGACGCCATTTGCAACTTCCATTTGGTGCAGCTTGTAGGATGGCAGTAATACATCTCTGGGTAAAGGGCTTGCTTTCAATGACATCTTCTTTGAGGTAGAGCCAAGAGGGAAGATCATTATCTAATTTCAATGATTTTGCTGTGACACCTTTGATTCTAGCAGTGAAATAACAGCATACCACACCACTGTATATATTATATTAAATCAGTATTCTCCTCAGAAATTTGTCTCAAGTGGGTGCAAATTTTTTCACAATTTAGACCAAATATGGACAAAATATGTCTGCTTTTTATGATTTTCTCATCTCATTTTCAACTGGGTGCAAATTTATTTTCAGGTGGGTGCAAGCCTTTTACTAAACTCTCAAGTGGGACGTGGGTGCAGCACCCACTTGTTCTAATACCCAGGAGATCGCTTAAATGATATTCTATGTGTATGTCATACTTACTGTTATAACAGAGAAGTCTAGATCAGTACTTGACTCCCCAGTCTCAGCTTTCTGCAATACAAAATCAACATTTTATAGATTACAAAAAATACCCAAAAATACAGTAAAGCCTGAATAATCGGAATACCACTGGAACAGGCCAAAATATCTAATTCACTTATTTATGTAAAAATTCACATCATGCTATTACTATGTTTATTTTCCAAATATATTTTGGCGTGATAATCAAGCTTATTCCATAGTTAGCATGATATTCATAGGATAACATGTGAAAATAAAAACTGTATTTTTGTAATCAGTGGTAAAATATGATATTTTTTGACAAATTTTCACTTAACCATAGCATACGGTTTTTTAGCCAAGACATACAACGTCGTATGCGATGGTTTATGGATTTTTGCTACTTCAGACTCAAAACGAGGCTAAGTGTCAACATCGCCGGATCGTTTGGAAAATTCGAATTAAATGACTTAATTTCCGACGATTCTTATGATGACTTTAACTATGGAATAAAAAGAACATCCTATGATTTACTCGTGATATGATTTTAATCCACTCATGGTTATTGATATCTGCACTCTCTCGCTACGCTCGCTCGTGCAGATATCATATCTATTCGTGGATAAAAATCATATCACTCATAAATCATAGGATATCCTCTATTTATACCACTCTAAGTCGAATTACAGTTGTATAACATGGGTCTATAACAACGATATACAGTGGAGAGTGGTATATCGTCATCGTATACAACTCCTCCGTATACACTCCAGCGTATACCACTGTAGAAGTGCATTCTGGGAACTAATGAATAAAAAAATCATGAAAATCCTAGATTCAAGTGACGTCATAAATGGTTCGAGATCAACATCAGCATTATTGAGTTGGCTATGGGATATTTTTATGGTTTTTAATTGTTATGATTGTGTGCGAATCAACTGTAATTGAACTTAGAGTGGCATAATAAGATTATATAATGGTTCATTCTGTATATCATGCATTTTATACTCTCGTGAGAATATAATATATTCACTCGTTCGCTACGAGTATAAACGATATACAGAAAGAACCATTATATAACCTCATATTATCATACTATATATACATTTTATATGCATCTGATGAACAATATTCTGTTCATATATGCATATATGATATATGTGTCTCAAAAAACAATTTTAAACATTAATAGGCCTATGGTAAATATATATCTAATTATTAAGAAAAGTTTTTGATCAAGATTAAACAGAGACAAATATAAAAATTTAATTCAGTTTTACATTATTAACTCCAGCAAAAATATATATAAAGCATATTTGGTCAAACAGTACATATACAGTAAATACAACTTACCTAAATAGTAATACGCATTTATACAATAAATAACATTTCAATCTATTTCAATCTCATTCAAATGACAATACTTCCTGATGATGCTAAACAAAATGATCAACTTTTATGACAAATGAATAGTGCATTAATTGTAAATTTAAGCACGCTATATGACATACCTGAATGTTCAAATAAAAACATATCCGCATTATCTAGGCCATATTCTCCTTGGACATATTATTAAATAAACCCTCTAACAATCTACATATTTCAGTCGCATCCATATGGAATCCTCCCACGGACGTGTCAACAGATTTTTGGATTTGCATATTGTCCACCCTTTACCCCTTGTTGGTAATTAATAACTATATGTGGTACCATATGGGACAAAGTATCATTACCACAAACAATTAATTACTAGATCATGTTGCGTAAGAATCCTTAAATTTAATCAGCTAATTAAGTTAGTGGGACTTTGTTAAGAAGTAGGGAGGCGTTAGAAAATGATGTCATGGAGGGAATCCAGTCATTAATAAGAAACTTTTTGAACAGAGTTAATGTTACAATTGAACAAATGTTGTTTTATTTGAATTCGAGATTAAAAAACTGACGGCATAAACTACTAGACTGTGTGAATACAATAATAAAAAAGATGAGTTCCTAGTTGTTGAATCAGAACTAGTACTTGGTTTTATCTTTAGACACATTCATTTGACTTATCTCCTTAAAAGATAGCTTCATCTGCACTCTTTTGAGCTCTCCAAGACAACCAGATCATTTTCATAAATATGATTTCCTATATACGAAAATTTTCTTGAACTTCATTGTTGACCAAGTATGGACCAACATTTTAAATGGCTGCAGATTAGTTCTTTAGCTTCAATGTAATATTCAATCGAAACTAATCCCTTCAAATACCTTTTGATCTCTTCTTTTTGATCAATTGAGGGGATTATAATAAAAGATATAATATAAAGAAATAAAGATATAATATAATAAAAAAAAGTTATTATCTAGACTATTATCTAGACTATATCTAGAATGATGAATAAATATAGAATACATGTATATGTAGAATGATTAATGAATCTAGAATGGTAGAATGAGGGCTCCATGTGAAATGAGAACTACGTGTAGAATGATGATGACTAAATGCATGCATAGTATGTATGTATGGAAGTGAACATTTAAATTTTTATGGTATTGAATGGGCCTATGTATGGTAGTGAATAATTACCTGCGTATGGTATTGAATGGGCCTATGTATGGTAGTGAATAATTACCTGCGTATGGTAGTGAATGGGCCTATGTATGGTAGTGAATAATTACCTGTGTATGGTATTGAATGGGCCTATATATGGTAGAGAATAATTACCTGTGTATGGTAGTGAATAATTACCTGTGTATGGTATTGAATGGGCCTATATATGGTAGAGAATAATTACCTGTGTATGGTAGTGAATAATTACCTGTGTATGGTAGTGAATAATTACCTGTGTATGGTAGTGAATAAGGTCAGCAACAGTCGTTTGCATATCTTCATCTTGGTCAATATTGGCATATTCGCCATCTTGGAAAACAGAGCCATCTATAGGCACTGAGCCATTTAAGCCAGTTACAACATTTTGGTGTTGTGTGTGCTTGGGGTTGGGCTTTATAAGATGAACCTCCGGCTACAGGAAAGCAAATTGATTCAATTGATTTCAATAAAAATTCTATTCCACTGATGACAATATCTGACAATGATATAAACCTTAAATTATACTTATTCTCAAAATATACAAAATAAAATTCTAATTAGCTCAGTAATGATTTTAGAAATATCTAAATGAAACTTGGTGATTATACTACTTTTATAAAATTAATCTTTATACTACAACCTGCTAACTTTAAATAATCATTTTAACTCAATTTCATGCTTTCCCTAGACCCTTATTGAAATGCTCCAATTGTTTTACTAATGTTATAATTGGTATTGAAGTGAAAGTTCAGCAAACACCAACCATGCAAACAGAAAACCACCATGTTCTCTGAGTAAACCAAAGAAACAAACAAATCACTCTCTCATTTTTTAAAGAAATAGGTTTATAAACTGGCGTAAAAAGAATAAAGATTAAATTAAATGTCTCAATCTTTAGAGTACATGTATTCACTATTGTCGAGAAGTCCAACAAAACGGTTTCCACATGCTCCGTTACAAACACCATTTTAAATAGTGATGATATAAAGATGCTTGTTTGTAAAGCAACACAGCTAGGGGTACGGGAGAGCTCACCTTAACCAAACACCCACGCACACACAACCTATGTGTCATTAGACACAACCTATGTGTCATTAGACACAACCTATGTGTCACTAAACACAACCCATATCTTATCTTATTCGGTATAACAAATTCATTACTTGAAACAACCCATGTATCGAAAAACACAACCTGTGTCATTGTATTCAACCCAAGTGTCCTTTGACACAATTCATGTGTCATTGAACATCACCCATGTGTCATTCCTGCAAATTATCTTCATGCAACCTTCTGTACAAACCTTTGGGTTGAAACGCACCCTCTTGTGTGGGGGGTCAGGCCTTTGTATCACTCCTTGTGTGGACTTTGCTATAATACCCTTCAGAGGGCGCTTAGACATATGCTTGCCATGGCAATTCTGCTGGTTGCCATGGTAACTCTGCTGGGTACCATGGTAACTTTGGTTGTCAAGGGTACTTACATCATGTCTAAAGTGGGTATAAATAGACTCAGTGGAGCTGTACTCTCTGAGGAGGTCCCCATCTTTTAACTCCACCCTCATGTTCAATGTCTCAGAATCTTCAGCTCTGTCTGGGGTGCTGGCACGAGAGCTGACATCTCCATTGTTCAGACTAATGTACGTGTTGTGCCTCGCTTTGTAGCGACGTGCAGTCATAGGGCTACTGAACACATCGATGTCTTTATTACTACAAGTTGTTTCTATGGCAACAGGACCAAATAAATCTTTCAGATTAGTAATACCCTTACGAGTATTCTGTCGTGGTGATCTGATTCGTTTGTAATTCTGTTTATTTTTTCCAATTTCGCTGAATGGTTCTTCAACTTGTTGACTGCCTGAGAAAATGTCCTCAATACGATCTTGAACTGACTTAATAGACTGATTATAATTTGAATATTCAGTGCTATTCTCATCTAGTCCTCTGAAAATGTCATCGATCTCATCTCGGATTGACTTTTGGCGAGGTGTGACAATTTTCCACGAGGATTTACCATTGTGATACGAATCGGACGAAACATTGACTGTTGAAGAAGCGTAGTCATTCCCATTGTACGATTTTGCCTTCCTTGCAGCAGGAATGTCAGAGAAATACCTACTTCTTGCATATGTGGTATCTGATTGGCTATCGATGGGGCGTGTATTTGGTGTGTGTACAAGGGAATTATTCACGGTTAGTTCATCAATTGAAAGATCATTTTGTAGAGAGAAACTATTGCGATTGACAGACTCATTGAAATATGTATCATTAGAGGATGATCTGTCAGTCTCGGATGTTACACTCAAAGATCGCTTAGAACGTTGTTGCTTGAGAATATCACTTGGTTTTAGACCAATATGCACGTCGCTGTTGCATGCTGGGTCTTTTTCAAGGTCGTCAGGAATTAGTGCTAAGTAAGCACCATCTTTTATTTCAGTACTGTAATCTTCAGTTTCGCTTTCATAACCATTTGTAGATATATTAAATAAATCGTCAAGTTCATCACAAACTGATCTTCCATTCACTGCCGGGATGATTTGAAAAGACGTGTCGTCTGCTGGTGCAGATGTAGCCTCATTTTCATATGGTCCAAATATTTCCTCGATTTCCTGCTGAAATGTCTCTGGTTTTGCAGGTACTATCCGCCATTTTGTTTTTCCTTCATTTTCCTTATTGTTTATTGCGCATCCATATTCAGATGGCTCGTCCTTTGGATTAAAGACATCTGTGATGCCAGGGTGACAATTGCGTTTCGATTTCTGTTTTACAGAGCCACCTGGTGTTCGAGGTTTCCCACGGCTATCAGGATTACGTTCGAACAGATTCTTCAAATGCTGATATGTCTGTGGTTTCTCCTCAACTACAGTTCCCCGACGTAGCGTCCTATAAACCAGCCCAGTATTTCCTGTATGGCCAACTGCGCTACCCTGTGTGGCATACAAACTCTCGTTACTCCTAACTTCAACTGGGCTCTCACTATTACATGGTTCTTCTGTCGTATCACTGCTACTTTCACTTCTACTGGAATGTGTTGACCAGGCTCCATAATTCTTACGTGGGCTATCTTGGCTATTTTTACCAGTTGAGTTACTACCTGGTAGCCAATTAACATAGCTGTGTTTGCTTACATGGGTTGACTGGACAAGGTCAGGTAGGCATTTTCTCAGGTGAGCACTAGATTCCTTAATTGGTGCAGCATCCTGGTATACTGAAATTCCTCGATTATTTTTAGCTCTAAGCTCGCTCTCAATGACATCACAAGTCTCTATGACATCACATGTCTTTGTGACATCATCCTTGGTTTTAACAGGGAGATAAGTCTTGACAATCCGTTGAGTTTTAACTAAAGTCTCAGTCTGGCTCTTTTCTTCATTTCTCTGCGCACCTTTTTGAAAAACTTCTCTAAGGTCTTCCACATTAACATCTACTCTCTGGCACTCGCGTTTATATTCAGTTACGTTGCTAGGACGATTCACCATCAAAGAGATATCTAATAAATCTTTCGGTATTCCCCTATCAACTTTTCTATTTCTCCGTTCAGCCATTTTAACTCTAGTCTCTATTTCAAATGTGCTACTTTATAATACTTAAACAGCTTAGTATTGAGATGACAAAGTTCTCTTAAAACTTTAATTAACAGACAATGATCGTATGTTAATTAAATCTGATAATATTACATCATGTCATATGTATGATAAATATAGATGCCTTCTTCACCTCTTAACGTAATGAAATTCAAGTCACATCTTATGAGATAATTTCAATGGAATCACACCCTTCAGACTTGTCATATGTCACAATTTATTTTAATTACGACCTTCAATCCAAGTAAATGTATATATGAATTAAAAATGTCTTGGGATGTCTCAGAGTTACATAACATTAGGATCATAATTTAGGTTTTATATTATTAATTTAGTGACTCTCCGAATGATTGACAGAAATAAAAATTAGTAGAAATAGACAATTAATGAAAATTTTTGATTTTGAGATTAAAGGGAAAATGATCTGGTTGAGGTTTAATGTGTATGTCTGCTTGCATCATTTCTGTAAATTTTGAATAAAGTGTCTGATTTTCTAGCATTTTTGAACAATTTAGCGTGTTAACTACACTTTGGTTTATGTTATATCTCGCTAATTCCACTATTTTTCACCCTGTTTCTTTGTAAAATGTAATAATTGTCATGGTATTTTAAGAATGGGAATAAGTTTGTCAAATTTCCTCCCCAGGTGTAACATTTTCTAACAGGTAACAGCTGTCAGATTTTCTAATTCCAGCAATTATATTGAATATCGAACTGTTCATCATGTTAGTGTAACCCATTCTTATACAACGAACTGTCTTAATTTTGAAGTTAATTAGAGCCCATCACAAAGACAAAAATTAAATTCAAAATTGTAAACTTACATAATTCCATCACAGAACAAAAATAACATTTTACATATCGTGGTACAAGCTTTTTATGAGGGGGTAGGTTTGTTTTTAACTTTCAGCAGGAAAATTCCTCCCCACCCTTGTATGGAAAAAATGCACTGTAGTGAAGAATTTTGATTTAAAAAATTAAAGCTAATTTTCTAAAAAACAGAATTCCCGTGTTGTGTCAAAGATTGTCAGTTTTTCTTTAATTTCTCCAATATAACATTTTTTTGATAAAAGAAAACACTTGGATTAATTTCATTTTGTTTAAAATCTAAAAGTAAATCACTTGTATTATGCGTAACTACTCATAGAAGTGATGGACTTTGAGAAAGAAAGGCGAAAATTGTCCAACTTATTATTTCCATCATTTTGAATATCATGTGATAGTTCAATATAAAGCATGTAGGACCATGTAGGAAGTGCTCATGAATATTCATCAGTAACAAGTAATGGCTAATAATTATGGGAGCTACTCACCTCCTCTGCTCTCTTCTGTCATTATCAAAAGCTGAACAAAATCATCAGGAAGATTGTCATTATAAAGTCAAGTCTTTTTTATACTCAAAACACAAAGATGACTAAAGTCCCGAATACTTTAGCCACAGAAACAATGTCTTGTTTTGGTAATTGTAATGGTTACCTACCTTCAAAATAATCTTATCTGGGATGGTATTACTCTCTGTTACCATAGGAACAGGCTTCTGAAAAACAAAACAAAGGGTTAAAACAGTGATTAATGGATTGATATCATTCATTTATATATGATATATCTAATATTATTCAGTTTTGATAAATTATACATCTGATCTTATAATCAGTGCATGGTTACTTTCTCACTCAACTATATTTGTCGTTTGCAATAAGTTTTTAAAAATCAAGAGAATAGAAATATTGATATGCTATATTTGAAGTAGGGCTGTGCCGGAACCGGTTCGGACGGTTCGGAATCGGAACCGGAACTTGGTCTCACGGAATCGGAACTTTCGGAACCCCTTTTGGTTCACAAATGAAAATAATTATGTATGAGTGAGTTCGACGGCGATCATGACGATATCGTCGTCCAAGTTTGTCAGGTTAACACTTACCTTTCCTGTCAATTTCTTCTAAATCAATTAATCTGATATTGTAAGAGTTAAAATGTAATTAATTAACGCTGTTAGATTGTAAGACGTCATGGAAAAGTAAATTTATTCATTTATCTATGAGTATTTTCGCCCCGTCGATTCCTACTTCCAATGAAATCCGAAGGTCAAAGTTCGTAAAACAAAACTTGATTTCTGTTGATTTCTCCGCTATTTATTTTGTTTATGCGAGTAATACACATGCAAATTGGATGTAGTTTGAAGGAAAACATCACTGGAGGAACAATGGTCACGGATATTAACGATTCAAAGCAAGTACTAAGGTAAGGGTCCGATATTGTTCCGAAACCCTTCGGAACATGATATTAAAATTCCGAATTCCGGTATTTTAACAAAAGTCCGCGGTTCGGACCGATTCCGGTCGAATGGCACGGCCCTAATTTGAAGTATGTTAAATCTTGATTTCCTTAGTATTAAGTTTGATTTGGCAATTTTTAGGAAATGGACATGACAAGAAATGTTGAGACTGAGATCTTGAAACTGAGGCAATTTCTTAAAAATGTGAATTATATATCTAACTCTCACTTTAATGCTATTATATGATAAACTTTGATATGATGATATACCCAATTCATGGTACTTAATTACCTTAATTGTTACTGGTCTTGGGAATGGTTCTGTCGCCATGGAAACCTCTTTATCCTTTTCATAACTCTAACAACACAAAAAGAGAAATTGTAAAAATAAGCATACTCTGGTATGGGAGCATCCTGAAAAGCCTTTTCATATTAATATTGTTAAAAATAATATACATAATTCAAACTGCATGTGACTTAAAGTTTCCAAATTCTATCATGGATACATAATAACAAAACATTAATGTTGTGTTCATAAAATATTATAATTATGCAGCTAACATTATGACCGAAATCTTAGGATATAAAAAGTCCACATTAAATGCATTTACAAAGTCTAGAGTTAAATGTGCAATATATCCTAGTCTACCACACCAAATGTGCCCAAATAGAAAAGCATTTCTAAAGCTACCACAGAGAGACCACACCACATTCTAGTTACCACACCAAAGTCTAGGTACCACACTACAGTCTAGTAACCACACCACTGTCTAGTTAAGATAGAATACGTCAAACTATTGCTTCAAGATTCAATTTTTCAAGATTCAAGATGTAATTGATCACCATAAAAAAAATATAATATAGTATTTTGCAATTCTTCAAACAGATTTCCATTTTTATAAATGGATATGTATTGAAATATGTTACATAATACATGCAAAACTTGTATAAATACTTTTTTGAGAGGAAGCAGGTTTAAACATTAATCACAAAAAAAATGAAGATCTCTTTCAACAACAAACAATCATAAATAGTAAAACAGACTTTCAATGTAAATGTTATTTTTAAATACGGCACACACAGACTCAACGTGTACTAAGGCACAACAAAGTAAAAGATTTAATATTTAGAGATAAAATGATTACTAATAATTATAGTATCAAAAAGTCTATAAGTCAAAAAAAAACTGGCACAGCGAACTACTCAGTACATACAAAGAAGCAAAACCAAAATTCCCAAAATCATCACATCTAAAATGACACCAGGGGAAACGGACAAACCTCCAGGACGGCTGTATTATTTGCCAGGAGTGTATTTGTATCGAGAAGTATTGAATCAAATGCGTCATTAAGGTATGCTTGAATGCCATCTATACTGTCTTCACTATCAGAATCCTGGAACAGTGAACAGTGCAATAGGTGGCAGCACTAACAGGGGACTAAATTAAACATCATAGGTGGCAGCACCAACAGGGTATTTAATATAAACACTATAGATGGCAGCACCAACAGGGTATGTAATATAAACACAATAGATGGCAGCACCAACAGGGTGTTTAAAATAAACATTATAGATGGCAGCACCAACAGGGTATTTAATATAAACACTATAGATGGCAGCACTAACAGGGTGTGTAATTTAAACATGATGGATTAGAACAACATACTGATCACTAGTCAAAAATTTTGGAAAAAAAATTAAATATATATAATGGCAATAAAGATGTTTATTGACCTCCAGGTTAACAGGGCTCAACTTTAAAAAATAAATCTTCAAAATTGACAAGTTAACATTAGTTAATCTATTTTTGTTTATTATTTAAAGCCAGTGGTGAAATATCTTTTTAACAGGAAGCTGGCTGCACCATAGCTGTCATTCAGAAAGTCAGTATGGAGCTTTGCAGCTTATTTCAGCTTTGCAGCTTATTTGTCAAAGATAAAGAACATCCCCTATAACCGCAAGATAGTCCTATAAGAGAATTCAATGGAACTATAAGAAACTTTAACTATATTTCAAAGGAGAATTCTTCCCAAGTGCCCCAGCTGAAATTGTATCAGTTAGAAGCACAGAAGGCATTAGGTGCATTAGTGCCACTTGGGACAATCAGCCTTTTGCTACACATGCAGAACCCACTGGAAGAAAATGTTGTTAACATTCCATATGTAAAATAAAAGTCATTCTGATCAAATTCTCTCTCAATGGGGAAGCATTCTGTTTTTTCACATTGAGATTTCACATTTTCACTTTGAGATTTCACATTTTTCTTATTTTTCACATTTTTCACAACGGGATTTCACATTTTTCACACAGAGAATTTCCCAATTTCACAATGAGATTCCATGTTTTTCACATTGAGATTTCCATTAGAAATCTGCACAGATTATGACCCTACTTTTATTTTTTCCCTATACAGTGTACATGAAACTTGATTTGATCAGCATGGCAATTAAATGTACCTACAATTTGGTTAGTTATGTTATATAGCATCTCCTACCAGGCTACAATCAGGAGGACTCCAAGATGACAAAATTCCGAAGATTTCCTCAGGAATCATAGTCCGGGAGTTCCCCAAAAGCATTGAAGCATTTTATCAATAACTGGTGAATAAAGTCCTGGGGAGATACATGTCCCCATTATTTTTTTATCCATTTGACATATTTCATTTATCAGTTATTGATATCTAAAACTGTTAAATATTGTTCTGAAATATTAATACAGTAAAACCAGTAAGGTGGAACGCCTCTGGGAGTGGAACAACTACATACGTGTAACACTTTTCAGAGTAACGATTCTCATAAATTAATGTAAAATGGATCTCTGGAACACCTCCCAAGTAGAAAACTATTTTGAGGTAATTTAAGTGTTAAACTTAAACAGGTTTTACTGTATCATCTTGTACACCATTTCCCAAATCATGCGTGCTTTTAGACACATCCATGCTGTTAGCTACATTTCGCCTAAAATGAAAGCATGAGAATAATCGCATAAGAATGCACAGATTATACATAATAAAAAGCAAAACTCTGTGTATTGTGCGACACACATTATTCAAAGAAGCACATACAGGGTGACCAAGTTTCAGAACCTGCCAGCTGTAGAAATGTCACGAAACATACAGGTTACCCTGTATTTTCTTGACATGTGTAGTGTGATAATCTGTACATTCTTGTCCCGTCAAAAAGATTTCAATATGGATGGTGACCACTTTGAAAGACCAGAATCCCTAACATTTTGTCACAATGAATTGTATTGTTTCAGAAAATGGCTTAACAGCATGAAATCTTATTGACAGTTGCAATTAAACACTACATCTTGACAAACCTTCTGAAAATCTCTATCAGCCTCCTTTTCATTGGTTTCTATAGAAACAGCCTCATTTTCAATATCACCTGACTTTATTTCAGAATCTAAACCAGGCTTTCGTTTAATACTCTCTTCTATTTGCTTATGCTCCAAAGGACTCAATCCCTGTTCCGTTTCTATGGCAACTATTTTTCCATCATCTCCATTTGCTTCAACTCTTGTATAGACTTTATCAGAGTCCCCTGGTGAAGGTTCTATCTTCGACAACTTCTTGTTTCTCTTTGATCTTGGTTTCACTTTGGGACTTTCAACAGTGACGACTGCATCAACTGTAGTTTTTTCAGAGATTTCGGTGTCGGGTAAATTGAGCTTTTTATTCTTTTTCAACCTTGGTTTCACCTTTGGACTACTGATCGAAGGTAACTCAGATGCGGCGATTCCTGTAACTAAATCTATATTGTTTGGTTTCTCAGATGATTTCTTGTATGTTTCATTTGCTTTTTCAAACACCAAATTATCATATAAACCTGAAACTGTTGATAATGCTCTTTGATTATCTCTTGTGTGTGGTGTGTCATCGATATTAGTAACCATATGGTCATGTCCTAAAATCTCAACTTTAGTGTCCCTATTACTAGCTTGACCATTTTGACCATTATTAGACTTTTTCTTAGTACTTGACATGAAAAGTATATTCTCATAGTCCTTTATCACTTCAACGACTTCCTCGTGGTAGTCGTCATCATCTGCATCAATCTTTGTAACAGGTACATCATCATCAGCCTCATTTTCATCATCGAGGACATCATCGCCATCTATTGACGTCTCGGGAAGAGATTCAAGTAAAGCCTCCAGAGATTTAAATGATGTGGGAGATAATAAATCTATGCTCCCCTCCGAATGACTCCTAGTCTGATGACGTTCTGCTCCAATATTTGCCTTGGCCTAAAAGTGCAATTCAAACTATGTAATTAATAAATGTCTTGGCCTAAAAGTGCAATTCAACTCCTAGCTTTGAAGGTTATAACATGCATCTCCAAAACATACATATAATTGGTTATCTCTTAATATAAGACTGCATTCATACAGGTGCCTCTAGCCTCAACTTGACTTCCCATACATCTAATAAACTTATATTAAATAAATGTTTACATTATGTTTTATTTAGATAAGACATGTAGAAAGGACCTATCTTTATAACATATTGTTATATAACACAATTATAGTCATTGTACACACCAATATATATTTATATTATACACAGCAATATACACTATGAAAAGCAATATACATGTATAAACAACAATATACATTTTATTTCAACAATTGGACACTGCAAAACTGTAACATCATCAAATGTGTATGTAGATAACATGTTAAATTTGACAAGTACATGTTAATTTCAACATGTACATGTTAATTTCGATATGTACATGTTAATTTCAACATGTACATATTAATTTTGACATGTGCATGTTAATTGCAGCATGTGCATGTTAATTTCAACATGCACATGTATCTCTAAGCTGACTCTTTTGCTTATGTACAAGTATGATTCCTTAAATCATTATACCCAGTCCTCGGGGTGATATGGGTTATGTTGACAATTTTAAGAATATACCTGAGATTATTTTTAAATAATAGTGAATTATGTCAAGTCCTTTAAATTACAATATAAAATTATGGGAAATATTATCTCTGGGCAATATACTGTCGCTTATAAGATATATCTTTAAATGCCTACACTCATAACGATGTAGCTCATTGCGGTAGCTTGAATCAAATATGTCAAAAAGATATGCAATGCAAAGAAACTTTAAATAAATATGTTACTAGAATTTATGTTTAGTCTTTTGTTCAAAGAATTTAAGAGAGATTGAAGAGTCAAAGATTGTATGCAAAATTATGAGAGATTAATTAACTGTTAATTGTGTAAACTGAATATAAATTAATTGGTTTAGCAGCAAATTAAAAATAAATTGCAAGAATAAAATAATTGGGTTGAACCAAAATAATCAAAATGTGTTGAAATCAAAGAAAACAAACAAAAAAATAAACTGATGTGTTACAGTCTGAACTAAAGAAAATACAACTGGACATAAAAAGCATAACAGATGAACATCATTGGCCAATAGCCTAACACAGCAACCAATCATAATACTGTTGCCATGACAACATATAAAACTGAGCTTTTGTTACCTTAGTAACATGACAAGAATTTATATTCACCAACCGATCCAAGGTAACGTCCCAATTTTCCACCTTTTTGAAGAAAACAGTGGGAAAATTGATGATTGCGATTGTGACACAAGACGTGAATAAGGCAAACTCAAAGAATACATTGTTGATGTGTCATTGTTGATGTGTCAAAAAATAAATTAAACATATCAAGATGCACAGGTATTTTTGGTGAAGCAATGAAGCATAATGAAATGGCAATTCGCTCAAATCCTGTTTTTTTGTCTGTCATTATTTTGTGCACCTATTTTTCAAATTGTGAGCGAGTGGATGTTTACAATATACAACATGCAAGGTTTACATGCGAGCAAGTTAATTTAGATTAGTATTTTCATCTTGTATCTCATTAACTGTCTCTGAATCAATAGGAACTGACTTATAAAAAAAATCCTTGAATTTAGACAAAAGTTAATATTTGACTCTTTTAGAAGGATTTTGTTCACATTGCTTTGAATTCACTTTAGTATCATGTTGGTATCTTATATGGTTTGATTATTTCATTTGAATTTCTGTGATTGTATTTACACTTTAGGTTGATGTTGAGGGGAAAAGGTGGCGCCACCTCCACACATTCTGAATATATTCTGGGAACTAGACATGAACTCCTGATCCATATACACAAAAGAGATGGTAACATCCCAGAATTCATAGATGATCCTGTCTCCATATCAAGATAAACCTCTATAGGTTGATCTTTACATTGAGATAGATTCATCTATGAATTCTGGGATAGAATGTCCTCCTCTTAAATGAGAAACCAGAACAACGGCAACGCCAAAGCGTAGCGAATCCCATCGAACAGAAATGGCTGGCATTTTTACAAATGAAGCGCAAATATCATATAAAACAACACACCAGAAAGGCCACCATTTTCAAAATGGTCGCTCACTAGCCAAGTTGTCATCAGAAAAAATAATATGCTTTTAAGTAGCCACCTCTAAAATTTTAAAAAAATCGCACATGTACTTGTAAAATAACACACATAAAAATGGTGGCCATTTTTCAAAATGGCCGACTACTCCCTTAAGTTTTATGAGACAATGTGCCATGCTTAAAGTATTCACATATCAAATATGAACAAAATCGCTCCAATACTTTTCGAGTTATAGTAAAATACGTTAAAATGGCGGCCATTTTTCAAAATTGTTTTCAAAATGGCCGCCTTCTACCAAAAGTGTCATAGGACAGTGTGCCATGCTTATAGTATTCACATGCCAAATATGAACAAAATCGCTCCACTACTTTTCAAGTAATAGTAAAAAATATGTTAAAATGGCGGCCATTTTTCAAATTTTTTTAAAAATGGCCGCCTTCTACCTAAAGTGTCATAGGACAGTGTGCCATTTACATATATACAAAATATGAACAAAATCGCTCCACTACTTTTCGAGTTATAGTAAAATATGTTAAAATGGCGGCCATTTTGAAAAATGGCCGCCTTCTACCAAAAGTGTCTTTAGACAGTGTGCAATGCTTATAGTATTCACATACCAAATATGAACAAAATCGCTCCACTACTTTTTGAGTTACAGCAAAAATCGTAAAATGACGAGAAAAGGCCGCCATTTTTCAAGATGGCTGCCATGTGCTTCTTTAATATCTACATTTGTAGCATTATTAATGTCCTTTATAATTTTTTACACATTTAAAACATATTGCTATTACAGTTTTACATATTGCACCTTAATTACTGTAAAATCGTCACTAAAATGGCCGCCATTTTGAAATGAGCGGCCATTTTGAAAATCAGCTTTCGAGCAGAACTTCTACCCCCATAGGGTATATGTGTACAAAATATGAACAAAATCGGGCCAACGGTATTTGAGTTATTGCCCGGACGGACGGACAGACGGACGGACGTACGTACGGACGGACGTACGTACGGACGGACGGATGGACGGACGGACGGACGGAGGTGTTCCCTATATCCCTCCGAACTTCGTTCGATGGGATAATAAAAGTAATATCTCCTGTAATTATACCTTGTCTGAAGCTGAATTGTTCGAGGCCAGGATGTTGTCGAGATCATCTTCTGTTTTGTTGTCACCATGGTAACCAGATAATCCATACTTCTAAAATAAAAGCATCCAATTAAATCTATGTACATGGTTAAAAATAACAATACAGTTTAAACCTGTATATATGGAACACTCTCAGCACTTGCCAATATTGTTCGTAAAAGACAAACGTTCCTTTAATAGCTTACCAGTGATCTCCTCAGGATTTTTTCTCAGGTGGGTGCAAAATTCTCATTTTCACAATTCAGACCAAAATTGGTCAAAATATGCTAGTTTTTCATGATTTTTCTCATTTTCAAGTGGGTGCAAATGGATTTTCAGGTTGGTGCAAGCCTATTTTTCAAAATCTTAAGTGGGTGCTGCGCCCAATTGCTTTAATGCTTGGGAGATCACAGCTTAAAGAAAAGGTTCAATGGAAGTCAATGGGAGGGACTTGGTTCTTTTGAAATCTGTTCCTTGAGAGGACCCTGAAGTGTTTAATCTTAATTTGTATAAATAACAACGAGGAGTATTTCCTGTCATTCTTTGTAAGTGATAACAAAGGATGATTTCTTTCATGCCTAGGTCACATTTGCTCCGATTCATCGGCCGGTGCCGGCGGATTGTAATATTTAGTTCAAAACTGATTTTAACTTGCTTCAAATTGACAAAACCTTTTTTAAATCATGTACAAGTTTTCATCTGACCTCAAATTTGAGATTTGACCTATAATTTTGAACAAAATACTCATTCAGCCAGGCGCCGGCCAATGAATCGGAGAAAATGTGACATAGACATTATTGAGAGACAAACTACCAGAAGATCGTTTTCTCAATAAATGAAACAATACATAAACACAATCTCCATAATAACATAATATCACTTCGTTATTATGCATGCATGCATACCAATAGATATATTTAAAAACAGGCTCAAGATTTGCTCTTAACTAAAGCATTTACCAAGCATCTTTAAATATGTTGAAAAATAGCGAACCAAAATATGCATATAATAATAGCCAAGACCAGAAAAATATGCAAAGTAGCAAAAAAACATTTATTTGCAGCACTGAAAAAAAACTATTCAACACAAAAACACAAAAAACTAAAACATAAAAAATTTCAAACAAACAAAATAACATTGAGAAACATCTAAGAAATAGATACAGTGCAACTTAGTTTTATCTACCAACTACATATACAAACCTGTATATATCACATGAAAATATTGCTATGGTTGGTCACTTTAAACAAAATATGTGTCTCAAAATGTGACTTTTTCCTTTTAAGATAACGAAGACTGATTTCTCAATGATTTAAGACATGGAAAGAAACACTTCAGATATCATATTTAAAGAGAACAACCTAGCAATATAAATATTATTAGTTAATCCCATCAGCAAACATTTTCCTTTAAGGCAGTTCTGCACTTTCAGAAAAATATTAGGAAAATAATCCATGGAAATGTTATTTCCCAGTAATTTTGACAATTTTCTTTTTTTGGGGGGTGGTTGAACTTCGAACTGAGTATTCTATAATCATGTGTAAATATTCAAATAAAATTTTTTACAAATATGACCCATAAAGTAAATATTTGTAACAATCAATATAAAAAATTACATGAAAATACTTGCAGAACTACCTTAAACAAGAAAAAAATCTTCTCTGACATTGAAAAATACACTTCAGTCAAATTAGACAGGAAAACAGAGTTCTAAATCACAGCAAGAAAAATGAATTGAAAAAAGTTTGCGAAGGGATTAACTAAAGAAATATTAAATCATGCGGAATAAAGAAATAAGTACCGCATTTAAATGTGTGGATGAACCACCACTTTCATCATCACCCTTCTCCATAGTGGGACTACTTTTGTCCTTAGAGGAACTATTTTCTTGGGTGGAAGAATTCCCAATGACCTCTGTCTTCTCAATTTGGTTAAAAAGTGAAATTGTATCGAAGACAGATTTAGGTCTTTGTTTTATAAGCTACAAAACACCAAAGGTTAGACGATATCTACATTATATATTAGGTAAAAGACTACATTTAACTAGAAACGATAAAGGCAGAATCTGGGATATAGGGGATGACAAAAGTTTCAAAATGCAAAAGTATATAAATTATTTGAAAAAATAAATGTGGATATCCAGAAAATTCTAAAGTTGGATCAATTTTCAGAAAGTTTGGTCACTAAATCTGATTCTGCCTTTAACACTTCTTACATAGGATAACTTCAACCAGATTACAAGAAAGGGTAATATCTGGAGAACAAAGTACAGGGTGGTCAATTAATTGTCAAACTGTCCCAAATCCAAATTTTCAAAATCCACCAACAAACCATGCTTTAAGAGAGTGAATTTCATAACTTTAAAAGTTATTCCAAAATCTTATGAATGGGAATGCTTATTTTCCTGGGTTTTTGGCCAATATAAGATGGCATTAGGTTTGCCTTTCATATTTTTACAAATCGATTTAGACTGACCTGACTGCCATCTTTAAATCAACCTAAAACCTGTATATATATTTTGCACACCCTGTACATAACGCTATTTAAATGTGCTGAGAAAGTTTAACTTTGTGAACCGGGAGAGTATGTTACAAAATTTTGTTCAATAAGTTAAAGTCATCAAAAATAAAAGAGGTGCGTTAAAGTCGATAAACTGAACAGGAAAGGGTTTAATACCATGTATAAATTATTAAACAGAGTCTTCATGAATCATGTATGGTATGGCACATAATTTTTGACAATCATATCTATATATCGATGAGTAATATTCAACCTTAATTACAGCATTTTTGCTCAGACATTGTGATCCAAGACATGAGAGTTGAAAATCACTTGCCATACCATACAATTTGTTAACACAATACAACGACTAGTTTGGGGTTATAAATATATTGTTTTGGAAAATGTAAAAATGTGTAAATTGGAAAATTGTAAATAATATCTAAAAGAAGTTTAAATATGTTGTAGGTGCAAATTAGAAGAAAACAAAGAAATGTTGGCACAGAAAAAAAGTCAACAGTTTCATGGGCTTTTAAATTTTCAACAACAAATGCAACAAAATTAGCACATTCAGGCCCTTAGCTAGGGGGGTTTGATATATTCGAGCGAACCCCCCTGGCCAAAAATTATTTCAAAATCATGCAGTTTTTCACTATTCTGAGCACTTTTTAAGTGATTTTGGCCATTTTTGGACCAAAATTGTCAAAAGCAAAACCCCCGAAATTTTATAAAAAGTGAACCCCCCTTGGCAAATCCTGGCTACGGGCCTGACATTTGAAAAGAGCAGGTTGTTGACTTTTGCAGCACTTAATCCTATACTAAATTGTAGTCGCTAATTTTGTACAAATCATGATTTATGATTAATTTGAGCTCAAATAGCATCATTCCATTATCAATACTAAGCATCTTGAATATAATCCACCAATCAAAGGTTTGCATGTGACCTCCCCCCCCCTTAAATACGGGGAGGGTTGGAAATTTGAGACGCTGTATTGTCCAAGGGGGTGGGATTTTGACATAGTTCTTTATCCCGGAAGTGGTGACTTTTGAAATGCACATCCCAGGCAAGCAGAATCTTGACTATATCTTTGACCAATGACCAGCAATTATAATTGCTCCCAGGGTGGGGAAATTGAGTCGCTAGGTTGCTCCTAAGGTAGGGAATCTTAACTGTCCAATTTTTATTTTGTCAAAATCTCCTCCTCTATCGCAAACCTTCAAATGGTACATAAGCCATGACACTGCATTCAGCCATTTCAACCAAAACCCCACTTTATCGCAAGAATGCTAACTTATAATAGACAAGTTGAAATATATCTTATGTCCCTACCTCTTCTCGTTCTATCTTGTTGCGTGGTGTGTCCCCTTTTATTCTGGGTGTTTTCACATTTTCTTCTTCTGCTGAAAGTAAATCAATTTTGAGGTTTGGTAAATGTTTTAGAGGTTTGGATGTTTTTTACATGAGAAATCAGTTGGCCTTGCAATAAGATGTATAGAGTAGGTCGTTTTCATTTCTTTGTCTTTTTTATTTCATTCTTTTATTTATTTGTATTTACAATTGTTCATTATCACTAATCCGGAAGAAAGTGTGACATATACCTTGTATATTGTCATGGTATTTTTTCAAATGTGGGGGCAATACTGCTTTAAGGGACAGATAGTACCTCTTCAATTATGGTCCAACAACTAGCACTAGAGGACAGACAATGCCCCCACCCCCACCCCTATCTTTAATTAATAGTACAACAGCTAGCACTGATTGACAGAAAGTGCCCCTTTAAATAATAGTCTGGCAGCTAGCAATGGGGGAAAGACAGTGCCCCTTTAATTAATAGTCTAACAGTTACCACTAGGGGACAGACAGTGCCCCTTTAAATAATAGTCTGACAGCTATCACTAGAGGACTCACAATGCCCCTTTAATTGATAGTCTAACAGCTAGCACTAGGGGACAGAAAGTGCCCCTTTAATTAAGAATCTGACAGCTACAAGTATGGGACAGAAAGTGCCTCTTTAATTGAGAGTCTGACAGCTAGCAATGGGGGGGGGCGGAGAGTGCCCCTTTAATCAATAGTCTAACAGCTAGCACTAGGGGACAGAAAGTGCCCCTTTAATTAATAGTCTAACAGCTAGCACTAGGGGACAGAAAGTGCCCCTATAATTAATAGTCTGACAGCTAGCACTAGGGGACATACAGTGCCCCTTTAATTAATAGTCTGACAGCTAGCACTAGGGGACAGAAAGTGCCCCTTTAATTAATAGTCTGACAGCTAGCACTAGGGGACAGAAAGTGCCCCTTTAATTAATAGTCTGACAGCTAGCAATAGAGGACAGACAGTGTCCCTTTAATTAAGAGTCTGACAGCTAGCATTGGGGGACAGACAGTGCCCTTTTAATTAATAGTCTGACAGCTACCACTAGGGGACAGACAGTGCTCCTTTAATTAAGAGTCTGACAGCTAGCACTAGGAGACAGTCAGTGCCCCTTTAATCAATAGTCTCACATCTAGCACTGGGGGACAGACAGTGTCCCTTTTATTAAGAGTCTGACAGCTAGCACTGGGGGACAGACAGTGTCCCTTTAATTAATAGTCTGACAGTTAGCACTAGGGGACAGACAGTGCCCCTTTAATTAAGAGTCTAACACTAGGGGAGAGACAGTGCCCCTTTAATTAAGAGTCTAACACTAGGGGACAGGCAGTGTCCCTTCAATTAATTGTCTTACAGCTACCACTAGGGGACAGACAGTACCCCTTTAATTACTGATCCAAGAACAAGTACAAGGACTTACCTCTTGGTGGCGAAAATGTCCTTTCTCTCTTCTGAAAAGAAAATGGAAAATTAGAACATCGTCAATAGTTACGTTTTGATCACATTAAGCATTTTTATTCTTTCAGGGGCAAAATAAAATTAAAAAATATAAAAATTTCTATGATCCGATTTCAATGAAAATCAATATGCAACTGTACAAATAAAATAAATGTAAGAGATATTATGAAATGCAGGGGTAATTAAAAGGCAGAGAGTAGCACTGCAAAATATAATAACGCATTTTGTAAAACTATCATGTTATATCAAAATAAATGAACAGTATTATAAGTTTTATAAATTGCTAAGCCGATTTGAATCTTTTTGTTATGGCTTTTAACAATGGGGTTTCTAATTGCTGAAAGTATTGGCCTTGAGTCATGATCAAGCTGAGAACATGTTGGTTCAAAAAGTTTGCCAAACAATAACATACTATGAGATTTTGAGTCATAAACTGTACCTCATAAACAATACCTCATAAACTGATAGTAAACAATACCTCTTAAACTATACCTCAAAAATGTATCTTTGAACTAAAAACATGGAATGACCTTATAATGTATTTAATGTTGCTTTTATATATCTGGTTCAAGTAGACCCTCAAGGGTGATTAATGTTGGATATATTAGGTGGTTAAGCTACACGTTTTTCAGAGAACTTGTACATAAACATGTAGAATTATGGTAATCCGGGGATTAGTTCTCCCATTTGTAGTGTTCAGTTGCCCAATTTTGTATATACAGGGGTTTCATTAGCATGAGGCAACAGACGATTTTCACTGGTTGATTTCACAAAATCGCCTGTTGTTTTAGGGACTTTTCAACATTTCCATGTCATGATTTCCATTAATTTTGCCTGTTGTTTTCATTTAAACCCTGTTGTGGGAAAGTCTAGTGAAACCCCTGTGATATAGCTGTAACAAAACCAATTGTAATTAAGTCCCTTAAAAATCCAATCGAGGGAGGCCAGTTATCCCCAGATGTCATAATATTACACAAATTAGTTATCTTAACCTTTAGCGTGCTGCCGGCGGACGAGTCCGCCGAGACTAAAATGTCTCTCACAACTGCGGGCGGACCCGTACGCCCGATTTCAAACTTTTAAAAACTTTACTTTTTCGCGCCATTCTTATGGTCCAATTAGATTGCCCGATTTATTCAGTGCCTAACATGACTTCCTGTTGACCTAGAAATGGCGATATTTCGAAAAATAATTCTCAATTCAACAATTTAATCAGTGTTTTAGTCGTTTTTAGTGAACGTATCGTACAAAATGGTGGAAAAATACGATCACAACGAAAATGTGGAGGAAATGAATTACGATTTCGAGCTCTTTAGGCTCTTGGAAGCCGATAACGGTCATCGAAAATAGAAACTAGAATATTTTCTGAATTGAAAAATTGAACATTCGATCGCTGCAAATTCAGATTTGGATTCTGACCAGACGAAGAGGCGGAGCGGCGGATTCCGGAGGAGTATTCATGGTATATTTATGCCCAGTCGTGTTAATGTACGAATAAATTCATGAGAACATTTTTTTTCATGAGCCAGGCCACTGTATCTTCCCTTTGTGAAAATTTTATCCAGATTCATTCAGTAGTTATTGAGATATTAATTATTTAGTCCAGGCATATCATTTTTTGCACTCTTTGAAAAATAAGCCAGTTGCGTGGGATATATTTGCTGAAATAAGGCAGCATGGTAAAGGTTAAATGTGTAGCTTGACCTCTGTATTTTATGAGACATCCATCATGTGTTGTTCTATGATAAACTAAAAATCTATAGGGAAATAATCTAATAACATCAAGAGATGAAACAATTTGGAGGATAACTATAGATTGAAACAATAATGTTACATAGCTTATATTATGAAAATGTACGTTACAGTTAAGTGTTACGGAATTACAGTTAAACTGTAACAGTTAAACCTGTCGAAAATGAACGCCATATAAACTTTCCAAAAGTGTTCAGATTACAAGATGATCACATTCCAAGGTTCATTGAAATGTAAGTGAATGAAAAAGCAAAATTGAGACCGAGAAAAAGTGTTCACATTGAGAGGTATTCAGATAAGAGACCTGTTCATATATACAAACTATTATTATAAAAGTGTATGTTACAGTTACAGTTAAACTGTAACAGTTAAATCTGTCGAAAACTAACACAACTAGGACTTGCAAAAAGTTTTCACTTTTCAAAGTTCATTAATATTAAGTTAATGAAAAACTAAAATTGAGACAGAGAAAAAGTGTTCACATTGAGAGGTATTAAGATAAGAGAGTTGTTAGTATATTAGTATAGGTTGAAGACCACAGTAGAGTTTCCCATAGGTGGCCATTATAACATTTTACCCTGTATCTTATTAACGATTAGTATTCAAGCCTAGTGCAACATACCACAGTGTTCGGGAGAGACTCGCCTAGACTGCTATAACAATCTTACCATGGGTTGTCCACCGAATTTTTGAGATAAATAAACTTGAAGACACTAACCCCCTCTATCGTCAGATTTCTCAGAGAATTCTGGTAAAATCACCAAGGTCAAAATCACTCCGCCGCCAGCTTAAAATGAGATTTCCCACTGAACTTTGGCATGTTTTCAGATAAATCAGGACCTACCTTATAAATATTTAGTCCCAATTCACTTCCCAAACGCCAAATGGCGCTCCAATGGGGTAGGAAAGGAGAAAAAATGACTTTTTATACAGAAAACCAAATCACTAACGGTAACCGCTAGTGTCCTTACTCAGGACTATATCCTAATAGTAAACTGAATTAGTTTGTTTTCTTTCAACATGGTTATATTAGCATTGTAGGCATTATCCTGATCACAATGGTATATAACAATGCTATATTTGAGAAAATGCACGGGGGAAGATTCAATCCTTATAGACACAGGTTCTTTTAGCAAAATTCAGGAAATTTGATTTTGAGATTTCTTGAAATTTCTTTGGGGTAGGGGTGCACCTTACAGTTTGCATCACAGATTGAGTACACCCAACTGAGGGGAACATGGCCATATGGGGTATCATTGGAAAGCGATTTCTACTATCTTTCGAGTGATATCCATGTCAAGGCGTTCAATTGCATATTATGACGTCATAACGTTAGGGAGAAACAAAGGTTCATTCAAAACTGCCCAGAAGACAATTGAATGGCACGGGAGAATGGAATTCAGGGTACTTGGCACAATGGCCTCGCCCCCAAAACACTAAAGTTGCTTCAAAATGTCACTATTTTGGTACCATTGTTCAGCTAAGATACAGTCCTTTAATATGATATGCGCTATTAGGCTTCTTAATGAACTTAAAAACCTCAAAAGGGGACAAAATACCCCAAAAATGCGCCTTCTAATAGTAAACTGAATTAGTTTGTTTTCTTTCAACATGGTTATATTAGCATTGTAGGCATTATCCCGATCACAATGGTATATAACAATGCTATATTTGAGAAAATGCACGGGGGAAGATTCAATCCTTATAGACACAGGTCCTTTTAGCAAAATTCAGGAAATTTGATTTTGAGATTTCTTGAAATTTCTTTGGGGTAGGGGTGCACCTTACAGTTTGCATCACAGATTGAGTACACCCAACTGAGGGGAACATGGCCATATGGGGTATCATTGGAAAGCGATTTCTACTATCTTTCGAGTGATATCCATGTCAAGGCGTTCAATTGCATATTATGACGTCATAACGTTAGGGAGAAACAAAGGTTCATTCAAAACTGCCCAGAAGACAATTGAATGGCACGGGAGAATGGAATTCAGGGTACTTGGCACAATGGCCTCGCCCCCAAAACACTAAAGTTGCTTCAAAATGTCACTATTTTGGTACCATTGTTCAGCTAAGATACAGTCCTTTAATATGATATGCGCTATTAGGCTTCTTAATGAACTTAAAAACCTCAAAAGGGGACAAAATACCCCAAAAATGCGCCTTCTAATAGTAAACTGAATTAGTTTGTTTTCTTTCAACATTGTTATATTAGCATTGTAGGCATTATCCCGATCACAATGGTATATAACAATGCTATATTTGAGAAAATGCACGGGGGAAGATTCAATCCTTATAGACACAGGTCCTTTTAGCAAAATTCAGGAAATTTGATTTTGAGATTTCTTGAAATTTCTTTGGGGTAGGGGTGCACCTTACAGTTTGCATCACAGATTGAGTACACCTAACTGAGGGGAACATGGCCATATGGGGTATCATTGGAAAGCGATTTCTACTATCTTTCGAGTGATATCCATGTCAAGGCGTTCAATTGCATATTATGACGTCATAACGTTAGGGAGAAACAAAGGTTCATTCAAAACTGCCCAGAAGACAATTGAATGGCACGGGAGAATGGAATTCAGGGTACTTGGCACAATGGCCTCGCCCCCAAAACACTAAAGTTGCTTCAAAATGTCACTATTTTGGTACCATTGTTCAGCTAAGATACAGTCCTTTAATATGATATGCGCTATTGGGCTTCTTAATGAACTTAAAAACCTCAAAAGGGGACAAAATACCCCAAAAATGCGCCTTCTAATAGGTTGAAGACCACAGTAGAGTTTCCCATAGGTGGCCATTATAACATTTTACCCTGTATCTTATTAACGATTAGTATTCAAGCCTAGTGCAACATACCACAGTGTTCGGGAGAGACTCGCCTAGACTGCTATAACAATCTTACCATGGGTTGTCCACCGAATTTTTGAGATAAATAAACTTGAAGACACTAACCCCCTCTATCGTCAGATTTCTCAGAGAATTCTGGTAAAATCACCAAGGTCAAAATCACTCCGCCGCCAGCTTAAAATGAGATTTCCCACTGAACTTTGGCATGTTTTCAGATAAATCAGGACCTACCTTATAAATATTTAGTCCCAATTCACTTCCCAAACGCCAAATGGCGCTCCAATGGGGTAGGAAAGGAGAAAAATGACTTTTTATACAGAAAACCAAATCACTAACGGTAACCGCTAGTGTCCTTACTCAGGACTATATCCTAATAGTAAACTGAATTAGTTTGTTTTCTTTCAACATGGTTATATTAGCATTGTAGGCATTATCCCGATCACAATGGTATATAACAATGCTATATTTGAGAAAATGCACGGGGGAAGATTCAATCCTTATAGACACAGGTCCTTTTAGCAAAATTCAGGAAATTTGATTTTGAGATTTCTTGAAATTTCTTTGGGGTAGGGGTGCACCTTACAGTTTGCATCACAGATTGAGTACACCCAACTGAGGGGAACATGGCCATATGGGGTATCATTGGAAAGCGATTTCTACTATCTTTCGAGTGATATCCATGTCAAGGCGTTCAATTGCATATTATGACGTCATAACGTTAGGGAGAAACAAAGGTTCATTCAAAACTGCCCAGAAGACAATTGAATGGCACGGGAGAATGGAATTCAGGGTACTTGGCACAATGGCCTCGCCCCCAAAACACTAAAGTTGCTTCAAAATGTCACTATTTTGGTACCATTGTTCAGCTAAGATACAGTCCTTTAATATGATATGCGCTATTAGGCTTCTTAATGAACTTAAAAACCTCAAAAGGGGACAAAATACCCCAAAAATGCGCCTTCTAATAGGTTGAAGACCACAGTAGAGTTTCCCATAGGTGGCCATTATAACATTTTACCCTGTATCTTATTAACGATTAGTATTCAAGCCTAGTGCAACATACCACAGTGTTCGGGAGAGACTCGCCTAGACTGCTATAACAATCTTACCATGGGTTGTCCACCGAATTTTTGAGATAAATAAACTTGAAGACACTAACCCCCTCTATCGTCAGATTTCTCAGAGAATTCTGGTAAAATCACCAAGGTCAAAATCACTCCGCCGCCAGCTTAAAATGAGATTTCCCACTGAACTTTGGCATGTTTTCAGATAAATCAGGACCTACCTTATAAATATTTAGTCCCAATTCACTTCCCAAACGCCAAATGGCGCTCCAATGGGGTAGGAAAGGAGAAAAATGACTTTTTATACAGAAAACCAAATCACTAACGGTAACCGCTAGTGTCCTTACTCAGGACTATATCCATATATAAGCTTTACTGTATATGTTTCAGTCCATCTCAACTCTTACACAAGACATGAGTTTATTTACATCTACAATCATTGTAAACACTGCGATTATTTGATTGTTTATTATCTAGGAGATTATGAAGAGCCATGTATATCCCATTATCTCCTAATGGAGAAACCTCCCAATCAATCGCCATATGCTCCGAGCCCGTAGCCAGGGGGATTCGGCAAAAACTGGCCAAAATTTCTTTCAAAATCATGCAATTTTTCACCATTCTGAGCCCTTTTAAGTGATTTTGACCATTTTGGACCAAAATTGTCACAAGTGAACCCCCCTGGAATTTTTCAAAAAGTGAACCCCCCTTGGCAAATCCTGGCTACGGGCCTGTGCTCCCCAAGGGAACCTTACAAACTGAATCACAGATGTCAATATTTGTAGAGTTTGTTTGTAAGGTAAAGGTAAGTAGAAAATAAGACATATTACACATTGATTTATGGCAAGGAGACAAAAGGTTTTATCTTATCAGTTAGCATATGTAAGCTCTGCTTTTATCAGTAGGTGAATACAACAGTATTGTAAAGTACACCGTTAACATTATACAAGACAACTTTCTTATTGTCTTAGGTAGCTTTCTCATGATATTTGCTAAACTTTCTTATGGTATTAGGTAACTCTCATGATATTAGGTCTCTTTCTCATGATATTTTGCAATTTTCTCATGATATTAGGTCCTAGGTAACACTACCTAATAACATTGATGCTCTCTATAAAAAAATAGATAAATCATAATTTTTGTTTGTTTGTTTATTTGTTTGTTTGTTTGTTTGTTTGTTTGTTTGTTTGTTTGTTTGTTACACATAAAGATGAAGGAAGAAATGAATGAGTGAAGAGTTTTTCATAATTGATATAGTTAAGGTAGTGCAGTGATTTTTGTGAAATGCTCAATATTCCTGATATATATAAGCAATGATGTAGATAAATATATATTCATATATTTATTGGAATCCATTGAAATGATCAAGTTTTTTAGCATTAAAGGCTATGGCTATGACCTTCATTCCAGAGGCATGCTTTGAAAAAATCGCAGAACCTATATGTACATAAATCCAAAAACACCAATTCACTGACAATAAAAAACTGAATACTGATAACATACAAGAACAAACAAGAACATTGTGACATTCGTGTCCCTCCCTTATTGTATTCATACTTAATAAATACAAGTACATGTACAGCAAAAACTTTTTTTCTGAACACCTCTCTAATCAGAACACAATGTGAACACTTTTTCTGAGTCCCACATTTAAAAAAAAAATTGAACTCCTGTAGTATTCTTTAAGTCCTGCACGACGATGAGTATTTTTGTGTAATTTTATGATTACAATCGCAAATATTTAATGAAATATTTTTTATATTTTTAATATTCCATGTCGGATGTTTACATGTTATTATAGAACACATAGTTCAAATCAAAATATTTTGTTCAATTAATGTTCAAGACAATTCCCAAACTTTTTCCGATTTTTTCTGAAAGTATAAAAGTACCTCAATGCATAATGCAGGGACTTGATTGATTGACTTTATTGAGACTTGCCTTAGAGAGTGGTGATCCTGCCCTATACTGATGTCCCTGTTCTCCTTTCTCAGTCATAGTTGTAAGTTGTTATTGTCCTCAGTGAAAATGGTAGGTAGGTAATCTCTTTTAAGCTCCTGATCTGAAAATTGAATGCAATTTAAATCAAGGCGTGGAGCAAGTATCTAACCCACTCCCTCCTTTCCTTTGATATTACCATTAAGAGATGATGAAACAAAATTGAGAGGGGGCAAAATTGGGACTTGGGGTAAGACTAGGGCTATTACTAGATCAGGGTTCATGACAATCACCTCACTCACATTTGATCTATGACAACCGTTAAATGGCCGTAACTTCCCAAAATCAAAATAAATACACAGCATAAAATAGAGGGATAAGACATAGTCAATGGAGATTTTCTATATCAATTTTGTGAACCTACAGCTGCTGTATGCCCACCATAGAGCAAATGCGACTGAAGCTTAAGGTTGAAAATGTGATTGCCACAATGCTATATTGCCATTCAATCCATTGCCCAATAGACAACTTGCTTTTCTAATTGCACTACCAAGAGTGAAAAGTAATTACCATTAGCAGTCAGGCAGCTGAGAATTTTGAACCCTGTACTAAATAATTTCTAAATGTCACCATAATCATATAGTACATTCACACCAATCTTTTAGAAGCATACTAAACTATCGAAATCTGATGTTTGTACATCAGTCATATATCAACAAATAGCATCTAAAGCACAGCCACAAATCAACTGATCCCACATAAAAAAATATTTTTTTACATAATGGAAGGCCCAAAACAAATTGAGGTCGAAAAACATTTAAGGGCCCAAAAACTGCTTCTCCCCATACAAATTGGGCAATTTAGGTAACAAAGCAGGTTTCCCCCCCAGACCTCCTCTTGATTTTCAGACCTGCCCCTGGATTCAGGGTGTCAAGTTAGACTGGGGCAAACTGATAGTATCCATAGAAGTAATAGACTGACACCAAAGTTGATTTGACCCGAAGGATTTGCGCTGATATAAAGATGGCGTTTTGGCTTGTCTATATCAATAAGAAAAGAGGAAAAAAGAACCCAGAATTCATAGATGAACATTCATTCGTCTAAAGATGAATTGAGAATTCAAAAAAGGTTCATCTTTGAATTCTGGGTTATTTCCCCCTCTTACAGAGAGGATATATTTATAAAGACAATCCGCTCCAGGCCAGTAGCCAGCTTTTGCCAAGGAAGGGTTCAATTTTTCCAAAGGATGTGCTCAATTTAAAATAAATCCAGGGGGGTTCAAATGGTGTACAATGGACAATGAAGACCCAAAATCACTCAGAAAGTTCTCAAAATTGTGAAAAAAAGTGCATGATTTTGAAAGAAGTTTTGCCCCTGCCCCCTCCCAACCAAATTCGCCCCACCCTCTGGCTATGGGCATGCATCTTTAAATTAACCTAAAGCCTTTGACCATATTTGGTAGAATGCCACAGCCTAAAAGTCAACCAAGAGCTCTGTTTAACATATTTTACAATGTTCCAGGTAGGTTTTCAGAAAGATCCATAAAACACTGCTAAACATACATATAATTTGTAAGATCCTTAACCTACCTTGTAATTTGTCCTATATTAAAGTAACTGTGCTCCTTGCATGGTCACATATAATCCAAAAGTTGAGTAATCCAGATAAAATCTCAGTATATATACATATATGGTGACTGGAATGTATGGTTAAGTTGCATGGTCCCTGGGGGTTGTGGGTAAATACCTCTCTGACTCAAGACATCTGAAAATACAAGATTTGAAATTCTGTCAATACATGTTTAAATCTATAGATGTTATTAGTGCAAACATTCATCACAGTTTTTCAAAATGTATTTTCTATAAATGTGATAGAATGTTAACATTGAAATGTTTTATGGCCATTGTGTTTAAATGTACCAAGCCTGCTGGTAACTGATAAGGCATTAAAGAAATCATTGTTGCCTAGTTTAGGTATGATCCAAACCATGTAGATACTTTAATAGGTAAAAGGTATTAGCATTACTAGACTACACCAGTAGGTACTTTAAATAACAGTAAAGTCTGTATATACGAACACCTTTCAAATCTGAACACCTCTCAATGCAATCACCCATTAACTCACACATGAAATATGAACACCTGTGATTATGAACACTCTTGGCAGTGACAGTCCCAGTGTCATTCGGATTAGACAGGTTTTACTGTAACATATTAGACATTGTTTACCATCAATTTATCATAAATATTTCATGCTCATCATAGATTGTTGTATGCTGGTTTAACATACATATAAACATCAAAAGCTGTGTTAAGTTAATCTATAGCATCATTCACATATCCACCATGTACCAATCCTTAATGTTCAAGTCAGGTCAATCTATTTTTCAGTTCATTAAATTTTCTGTTATTGTATGTGATTTGGAGAGTACAGCAATAAACATAATTCATTTGTACTTACAGACTTGATTTATTGTTGATTCTACTTTAACTGTTCTAGTCTTGGTGATATTGTAAACATTAAAGTTTCATATCCTATACAACCTTATATGTACATGACCTTATATGTACATGACCTTATATGTAAACGACCTTATATGTACATGTATTGTTATATATGACAGTTGATGTTGTAGACCTATTGGCAGTACAGTAAAACCTATATATCTAATCACCTTAATCTCATCTGAGGACGTCTTAATATAAACACTCTCTTCAGTATCTTTTTAATCTGTCATAAACTTCCACATTAAAAACCCCCAAAATGTGAACACCTGCAAATATGAACACCTGCCAATCAGAACACTTTTGGCTGGTCCCAGTGGTGTTCTTATTCGACAGGTTTTACTGTAATGCAGTTTTATTTCCATTCTGGTTTGTAATCTATAATCACTCCCTCAAGTAGGATATGATTAATCTTAACAATTTATGAGCATCAATGGTGACTGTTTCTTTGAAGTTTTGCAACATATTATTATCTTCACAAAGAAAAACAAGAGAATGATGTAAATAGCATTTTAAATGAGAATAACTGTCGCCCTTGGTCAATATGATACTTTCCTTGGTCAATATGATATTTTCCTTGGTCAATGTGATATTTTCCCTGGTCAATATCATATTTTCCTTCGAAATAATATTCATATTCCATCCCTCACATTAAATAACCTCTTTGTATCAAAGTGATTTTGACTTTTCTGGACGGGAACCAAGTTTTGTCTTTAATAACTCGTACAAAGTAAAGTCAGTATTTTATGACTCTAAAGGTCGAGGCTGATATGAAGGACAAGAAAGAAGAACTTGCACCTGCTGCTTCTGATGGTATACGGATCAGAAAATTTTTATAATGATACTTGAAATTCCAGAAAAAGTGAGGATGGGGAATCAAAATAAATACAGTAAATCCTGTAAAGTGGAACACCTTCATAAGTGGAACACTTTTCAAAGTCCCACAACCTATTGATCCATTGTAAAATGAGCTTCTGTAAGTGGAATACCTCCCAAGTGGAACATATTTTAGAGGTACCAAAGGTGTTCCACTTACACAAGTTTTACAGTAGTAGAAAGCCTCCATATTAGAACAGAGCTTTTAGCTGCTTTTCTGAAAATGATGGAGGTTTTTACATGATACCTGATATACCAGAAACAGTCCCTATCTGGCATCATGTAATGAAATTGAAGATTACATTTCATTAACTTGTTTCCCTCTTGGGAACTTCATTTGCATATAATGTCAGCTGAAATCAATGTGTCAATAAGGATTATCATAAATTAGTTTTCACTTTGTCATAATGATGATGGATCTGAAAGAGGACTAGACAGTAAAACCTGTATATCTGAACACCTCTCAATGTGAACACTTTTTGTCCCATTTTATAAATTGCCAGAGACTTCAATTGTTAACATACATCTGAACCTTGAAATGTGAACACCAAACCGTTTCTCCAGTTTCAGTTGAATTTGGATTTTAGAGGTTTTTTAATCACATGTACAATGTTAGCTATATATATCCCATAGTTCACCTATAAACTAAATCAGGCAATTCAAAACAACATGCATTCATTTATAAATCATGAGACATCATGAAATCCCCACATTACAATACACGTCACATTAGCCGGAGTTTTCAAATCTATGGAAAAAATTGTGGAATCTGTGGAATATTCTCTAACACAGATATTGCTTTTTTCGTGCATTTGCAAATTTCAAAAGTATATTTATATTTACATGTTAGCGTACAGATTTGACCTCAACTATGGGATAAACATGTATATACTATTATTGCATCAGGCCCTTGATCCTTCTCTTTTATACTAAAACGACCAGTGACCAAGACTCTATGAACAGTGCAGAAAGCATCAATAAGAGACCCAAGCCTTCTATCAGTTACATTCCAGTATGCAGATATGGTGTGGGCATCAGCATGGCAGATGTATTAATAACATAAGAAACTAAAGCAGATGTTTTGACATGTGTTTGTTTTACTACTGGATCTGTAGAAATATCAGATGACCTAGGACATTTAAGGATACATTCATCACTAATTGGTTTAGTGAAAATAATGTATTTAATCCACTTACTGAAATCAACTTATTTGTATTTGTACTTATACTGTTCATTCAGTGTATTCTTCCAGTCATATATTGCAACAAGACTCCCCCCCGCACCTCACCTACCTACCTGCCCTTGAATTGCAATCAAAAGTTCCAAGTTCTCCCTATGTAATTATAGATTCATTATGTTCAATCCACAGCCTTCAGATCCATAGCCAGGTTTCCAGTTTCTTATGTTGGACAACTTTGGCCCAAAAATGGCCAAAATTCCTTAAAAAGTCCTCAGAATGGTGAAAAACAGCATGATTTTGAAAGAATTCCCCTGGCTATTGGCTACATACCTGACCTGTACTATCTCTTGGAGTATAAGCTGTCTCAAGCATCAGATAAAGATGGACAGACTCTGATAAATAAGAATGGTTCATCACAGCTATGTTCCATGGCATATCTAATGGGGGGTTTGCGGGGTTCGGGCGAACTCCCCCCCCCCTGGCCAAAAATTCTTTCAAAATCATGCAGTTTTCACCATTTTGAGCACTTCTTAAGTAATTTTAACCATATTTGGGCCAAAATTGTCAAATGTGAACCCCCCTGGAAATTTTTGAAAACTGAACCCCCTTGGCAAATCCTGGCTACAGGCCTGGGATCTATGGGTTTTAGGTAGAATGGGGAAGTAGGGGGGGGGGGTGATTTGTGAATCACTCGGTTTTCAATAATAGAATGGTATTAAACACTTAACTTCTCAAGTTTCAAGTCTACTTCTCCATTAGGAAATACCTTTGCGATCAACATTATTTTTTGAGAGTGCCATGTCACAATATTTTCAAAAATATCTACCCTTGCACTTAATCTACAAGTAAAATGTGCAAAAACATGATAGACAGTAAAATTCCAACAAGATGTAAAAATCTTCATTTCTGAAGAGAGAAGCTTTTCAAATTCAATCGTTTAATTTCCTATTTATAGTTTAAATTCTGCTCTATAGTGCGTTCTATCAGGAAATCAGACAAGCCAACTTTTTTGTAAGGGTTCTGCAATGAGACCTGAAGTGAGGGAAATCTAATGTCTCCAATATCAAAACATTTGATAAGAAAGCAAACTTTAACACTAAAGTTTGACCTGGCATTGGAACTTTGTGTTGATAAGTCCACCTGGAGAAATTGAAGAAATATCTTGTTGATGAATGTGTAGTTTGAGTATACCCTGTGATGAAGAATTCTCTGTGATGAATTCTATCTCAGTACTTTAATGGAAAATGAGTAGACAGGGGCTGGGAGAGGTCATACCTAGGTAGTGGTACAATTTACTCACAGAGTTATGTTATTGATGAAATAAAAGGTAGAAATTGAATAATTGTCGTGACTCAAGAGTCCATAATCGTGACCTGCTTAAGTATGTTTTAACCAAAATTAGTTCAGTTCTGGAAACAAGTAAATATGTATGCATAAAAAACCAAAGGGAAAGGATCAGCATAACAAGAAAAAAAGAAAACAATCCCAAATCATGATCAAAATTGAAAATAACCATGAAGACCTTTAACCTGTATGTTCTCATGTATGTAGGCTGATATTATGATAAATTGTCAGCTCATGTATCAAATTTTGTGATACAGGAAACATTCCACTTGTATTGGGGTTATACTGTATCACATCTCAAGTTTTACTTTCATTGGATACAGTATCATCTTCCATGGTGTAATGATATTTCCTATATCCTATCTGAAATATGTTGTTACTGAGAGCATAGTGAAACCTGTTTAATTCAATCACCACTGACACCGTATAAAAGTGTTCAGATTGGCATTTTGTCCAAATTTCTTGTTTTTTAAGAATACTTAAATCAAAAGTGTTCACATTGAGAGGTGTTCACATTGAGAGGTGTTCAGATATACAGATTTTACTGGATGTAGACGTATCTTATTTTCATTCAAATTTCCTTGACAGAGAACTGTCCCATGAAATACTGCAAAATCTCTAAGATAACCACAATATGAACACTTATCTATTCTGATACTCATAGCATCTCTCATTCTCTCTCTCTCTCTCTCTGCTGCATTACAGTATCGACCTCCTAGACTATCACCAACGCGAACATCAGTTCTGATCTTGCGAACTACATTCCTTGCAGTCGAACCACGGTTCTCACATCCCAAATGTGAAATCTTTAGTCGTGCATCAGAGGTCAAAACTGATGTTCGTGTTGGTGGAAGTCTAGAAG